AGGATCAGGTAGGGGAGCCGGTGCCGGAAGTGGTAGAGGGTCAGGCAGCGGAGCTGGTGCCGGAAGTGGCAGTGGAGCGGGTGCCGGAAGTGGCAGTGGATCAGGCAGTGGTGTCGGTGCCGGACGTGGCCGTGGATCAGGTAGTGGGGCCGGTGCCGGAAGTGGCAGTGGAGCTGGTGCCGGAAGTGGTATTGGATCAGGAAGTGGCAGCGGCTCAGGTAGTGGAGCGGGTGCCGGAAGTGGCAGTGGATCAGGCAGTGGAGCGGGTGCCGGAAGTGGTAGAGGATCAGGCAGGGGAGCTGGTGCCGGAAGTGGTAGAGGATCAGGCAGTGGAGCTGGTGCCGGAAGTGGCAGTGGAGCCGGTGCTGGAAGTGGCAGTGGAGCCGGTACTGGAAGTGGCAGCGGCGCAGGTAGTGGAGCAGGTACCGGAAGTGGTAGAGGATCAGGCAGGGGAGCCGGTGCCGGAAGTGGTAGAGGATCAGGCATTGGAGCTGGTGCCGGAAGTGGCAGTGGAGCCGGTGCTGGAAGTGGCAGTGGAGCCGGTACTGGAAGTGGCAGCGGCGCAGGTAGTGGAGCAGGTACCGGAAGTGGTAGAGGATCAGGCAGGGGAGCCGGTGCCGGAAGTGGTAGAGGATCAGGCATTGGAGCTGGTGCCGGAAGTGGCAGTGGAGCCGGTGCTGGAAGTGGCAGTGGAGCCGGTACTGGAAGTGGCAGCGGCGCAGGTAGTGGAGCAGGTACCGGAAGTGGTAGAGGATCAGGCAGGGGAGCCGGTGCCGGAAGTGGTAGAGGATCAGGCATTGGAGCTGGTGCCGGAAGTGGCAGTGGATCAGGCAGTGGTGTCGGTGCCGGAAGTGGCCGTGGATCAGGTAGTGGGGCCGGTGCCGGAAGTGGCAGTGGGGCTGGTGCCGGAAGTGGCAGTGGATCAGGCAGTGGAGCCGGTGCCGGAAGTGGTAGAGGATCAGGCAGGGGAGCCGGTGCCGGAAGTGGTAGAGGATCAGGCATTGGAGCTGGTGCCGGAAGTGGCAGTGGAGCCGGTGCTGGAAGTGGCAGCGGCTCAGGTAGTGGAGCAGGTTCCGGAAGTGGTAGAGGATCAGGCAGGGGAGCCGGTGCCGGAAGTGGTAGAGGGTCAGGCAGCGGAGCTGGTGCCGGAAGTGGCAGTGGAGCCGGTGCCGGAAGTGGCAGCGGATCAGGCAGTGGAGTAGGTGCCGGGAGTGGTAGAGGATCAGGCAGCGGAGCTGGTGCCGGAAGTGGCAGTGGAGCGGGTGCCGGAAGTGGCAGTGGATCAGGCAGTGGTGTCGGTGCCGGACGTGGCCGTGGATCAGGTAGTGGGGCCGGTGCCGGAAGTGGCAGTGGAGCTGGTGTCGGAAGTGGTATTGGA